ACTGTCCCTTTTCACAATTGAGAAATTCAGGCTCAGCAAGGTTAAGTAAGTTAGTAACCACAGTCACACAGTTAAGTTGCAAAAAGGAACTGAAATCCAGGTCTGTTTCACAAAAGACTACATATTGTATGGTTCTGTTATTCCACTTATATGAAGTTCAAAAACAGGCAAAACCAATCTATGATGATATGAGTGACATCTAAGATGATATTAAGTCAGAGTATCAATTGCCTGTGTGGGTAAATGCTGACTAGAAAGGGACACAGGCACCTTTTGGGTTACTGCAAACATTTACTTCTTGATGGGCAGTGGATACACATTCATGAGTTGCACACTGAATATTAGTGCACTGCACACGCTTTACTCTATGCTATACCTGAAGTTAAAAAAAAATCCTCATTTGATTGACCGTAAGTTCATGCTCTTAACCACTAATCACCACACGGCCACTCTGACAGAATGTGGCCACAATCTAGAATTGATTTTCTTGGATAATCAGTTTTTAAAAACTTTCTGGTAAAGCAACATACAGCCTAACCATACCAGAGTGGAGAAATCAGAATAATAAATCTATTTTTAAATGTCACTGAATGAAAAGTAGAAAAGTATCAATTTCCTGGCTACTGGGAATTTCCCCTCTGTAACCACATCAGAATGATAACAATTTAAAACCCTGCTCCAAGGCAATGTTCATAGATGCACAGAAAATGATTTGTAACAAAATTCTTAGAACTATCTATGTTAACACAAATTTAAAATTACACCAAATATTTCAAGACAGATGTTGTAACTTTATCAACAATGCTAAGTCTCAAAAGAAGTATGAGTTGTTACAATAAAGCAAGAACACAGCCTGATGGGCAAAGAGCATAAAACTCATATGAGCAATGTGAGTGCACAATCTCAACCCAGAGTTATAACAAAAGAAAATTCATACAAGTAACTTTTTTTAAAAAGTAACTGTGCCACATGTGTCCTCATAACAAATTCTTCATCAAGTAACAAGTTCTTCTCACAAGAGCCTTGTTCAGACTAGCAAAGCCTCATCATCAGCCTTTGATGATGAAATCATTACATCAGTTCCCTCAAAGCTTTCTCTCTCACATAGGCACCTCTTACTCAAACAGTAATTGCCTCTCCAGAGAGAGGAATTCACCCTACAATGTGAAAAGTATTTGGTAAGCACCTAGTAACAGTTATTCCACCTTGGGGGTTTGGAGGAAGGCAGCTGGATCCGCACCTGTTGGATATGTGTCTCTACTGGGTGCTTTCAATTATGCAAGCCAGGAAACCTAGTTTTCAGTGTCAGAATCTGGTTTAATTCAAATTTAAATGTTCTGTAGAAATGCCAGGCAATTAACTAAAAGAATTTTAGTTTCCCCTGGGCAGCTGCATATATAAGATCAAAGGCCTCTTATGAAAATTTTTCAGTTTTGATAATTTATACACCATCATTGATGTGCTGCAATAGATTATATAATCAAATACTATCCCGGATGCAAGAATCTCAATGTTTATAAAAGTAGCCATTTGAATTTATTTTTAGTCATTAACAAACTGTCAAAAAAACTAAGTAGAATCAAATATTGTAGTTATTAAGCAAATTAGAAAGAATTAAAAGGACTGACCCAGTATGTTAAGAACAGAGTGTACTTCAGGCACTTTGACAGTGCCAGGTCGGCATCCCTAAATTATGGTGTTGGCTTTTTTTTCTTTTTAACCAACATTATTAGAAAACTAAAATTTAAAGTTTCAGTTTCTTTGAGAAACAAGACTCACCACCTTTCATCATATCCCTGAATCAGCTGAAAAAGTCCTACACATTTCTTACAAATGCATCATGTAAAGCAAAATAATTTTTTGGATTCTCATTCATTTCCCAATTTAACTTTTATTTTTTTAAAAGCCACCTATTTAAAAAAAACTGTACAGGGAAAAATCAACTGTGAATTATCAGTTCCACTTTCCTATTCTTAGCAACTTATAGTATCGTAGAATTAGAGAAATGTAATGGATTTTGTGCTTTTTTTAAACAAGGAAATTTTAAAAACTACAAGCCTTCTGTATAGCTAGCTTTCCAACAAACCCAGAAAAAACTCAATTCATAAATTTTGCAATCATATTATGTTTATTTTCCTCAAAAGACTACCTTATTCCTTGGACTTTAAAACTATCAGCATCTGCCAAATTTGGCTGGTTTCAGTCTGTCAGACAAATCTAAACCGTTTCCACAGTGGTTACTGTTTTTTGTTTAAAGGTAAGTTGATGCATGGAGGAACTTCTACGGTATACTGATTACACAATGTCCACCACTAATTAAGCACTCCTTAAGTGCCAGGATGCAAAGCTAGGAGTCTGGCAAACATTATCCTGTTTGTCCTCTGAAACAATCTGGTAGAGCAGACATTACCCCAAAGCCAAATATGTCAAAGGAGGCTGGGATGCTAAACTTGCCCAAGGTTACACTGAATCACGAGGACCAAACAGTGAGGATGGAAACTTTGAACTTTTACGGAGAATTAGATCTTTCACCATACATCTCCCATCTGTACACAAAAAGAAAAAAATAGTGAGCCTCTACTGTATGGAGATTCCCAAGGGAAAAAAATCAGTATTCCAATTTCCAAAAAAAAAAAAAAAAAGAGCTAAAAAGAAAGACATTCATAAAGGCTGGGCAGCAGGGACAGGTTTACTCAAACTGGTTTTAAAATCTAATCAAAGAGTACAGACACTCCGTGTAACTCTCCCAAATTCCACCAGGTTTAACAATCTCTATTCAAAAGAAACAGAAGTGGGAACTAGGACAGTGGGAAGTGACCGCCCAGCCCTCGAATCAGCTATCATCAAGATCTACACAAGTGTGACCACGAGACTGCTGGAGAGCCTTCGGACTGGGATCACCTCGGTCCCCACCTTTCTAGTCCCAGTCGGCCACATCGTTAACCATCCCAAGGCACAATTACACTGGTTTGCCCATATTCACCAACCAGCTTCGTAATCTGAAATCTACAGCAAGCCCCCAACACGGGAAAGGCAGAAGGATATGGTATAATTGTTCTAAACTACCTTTCTACGAAAATGAGGAAGTTCAGGAGGCCATGCGGGGTAGGGGAGCTAGGACAGACATATCACCCCCCACGTTTCGTGCAGGAAAAAGAGAGCCTCCTCAACAACCTGGGTTTAAAATGTATATAAATTTTCACAAACGAGCTTTGGACGCTGCGACACTTGTGGGGAATCCCTGAGCAGTGGGGCTGCCCAGCCCTAAGTGTAAAATACCGTGACCTGGAAGTTAGGGCAACTCGGTTTTATTGCCTCCAGAAGGGACCACCTGCCATCCTGGTGCAGCTGTCAGGACCTGCGCCCGCTGTCCCCTCGGAGTGCCCACCCAGCGCCCCGGCGCCCACCCTGCCAGTGCGGTGTTTTGCATAAGCCAGTTGGACGCACTCCCCGCAGCACCTACCCTTCCCCCTCCCCAGGTTTCAACCCGGTTAATCATCAACGCGGGCACTGTGGAATATTTTTTTAGAGGTCAAAGCGAAAGGTTCTCCCCGAGTTTCGCAGAACCCAGCCTTTGGGGATCCGGAGGTCAGTGGCAAGCAGTTGGAGGTGGGGAGAGGCCGTGGCGGCTCTTTGCCTGACAAAACACCTGATCTTCCCGTGCAGCAAGGGAGACTAGCGCAGTGCGCGTGGGGCGTGGGGCGCGAGCGCAAATTCGCGCACGGCCCCCTCCCCAAAATACCAGAGCAACCCAGAGGAGGCCCCACACGCCACTTCGCATTGCCTGCCAGCACCCCGGCGCGGGCTCCCCCGGAAGTTGGGGTGCAGCGGGGCGGGGACAAGAGGCAATGGGGCAAGAGGCTCCAAAGACACACTGCCGCGGGGTTTTGTTATCCTCTTCCTCTAAGGTAGGAAAGGTGGCGCGGAGGCCGGGGGCGGGAGGCGGACGCTAAATGCGGCAGGAGCCACCTGGAGACGGTTTCCTCTGCTGGGACCCGGGTACGACGCCGGAGCCAACGAGGAAGGTGGTTGGCGGTGGAGATGAGGGAGGCCAGTGGAGTGGGGGCAGGGAGCAGTTAGGTGGGGGGAGGAGAGCCGGCCTGGGGAAGTGGTGGGGGAGGAGAAAGTGAAGAGGGAGGCGACAGGATGCACAATCCGCCCGGCCCTACCTTGTCCAGAAGCAGCTCCTGCTCAGCGGGGCGGGGGCGGGATATCGCGGCCACATCCACGTCCCGGCCGCTCTGCGCGGCTCAGCCCGGCGACCGCAGCTGCTCAAGCTCCATGCATTGCGCCCGCGACTGGCGGCCCGGCGGTATCGGCGGCGGGGACAGCTCCGTCTCCGCCCGGCTCTGCTCGACTCTGGCACTTGTTGCCGTCCTGGTAGCTGCGCCTCACCCCAGGTTCCAGCTCCCCGCGCCGTCCCCACTCCGGGCGCCCGAGTGCGGTCCCGCCCCCGCCCCCGCGCGAGCAGCCAATCAGGCCCGGCACCGCCCCTCACGTCACCTCCCAGCACCTCCCTCCGCCTTGCTCCCCAAGTTTGGGGAAGGCCCATCTCCGGCGGATCGGCTAGTTCTCGCCCGGGACGTACCCCGGTTTGCGCTCCTTCTACCTTCCCCGGACCCTCCCGGGCCCCAGGCTCACACCTGGAAGGCAAAGGGTTAAGCTGGAGGAAGACGACCCCAGGAGGTAGACCCTTCGGAAAAATGGGGCAGCTCGAAGTTTAAAAGAATTATATTGCATCTCCGGTCTAACCTAAATCCCTCCAGCTGCTGGTCGCCCCTCGTGTAGTACGTCTGATGTTGGGGGACTGGGCACGTGGCCTCGCGAGGGCTCCAATAACCTCTTCTGGATGGAGCTAGTTTGTGACTGGACCTACACCGGACCCTGGCCATGCCTCAAGGGCTTTGGTTAGTTTTCCCCCGCAAAACCCGAGATTCCGCCGTGGGAGGTGGGAGAAGGAGGAATCAGGGCCAAAGCGGGACTTGACCAATGCTCTTTGCCTACGCACTTCTTAGGTACTCAAATGATGCCCTAGAGCCCAAGGCCTAGGGCGGTGCCCTGTTTGCCACTGCCACCCTGTCCAGGTTTTTAAGCCGCCTAGGACATGGTGAGGGGGGAGTAGTTTTCCTTGCGGTGTCCTGCAGAAAATTTCCTTGAGGTTCCACGGGTGCCTCGGGAAACTGGAAACGCAAGATTCCAGATGCTGGACCTCCAAGCCGTGCGGTGGTCCAAGGGGCAGGGCGTAACCTGGGTGCAACCTAAATGGCTGAACTCTGACACACACAGCCACCGGCTCCCCGGGGCTGGTTGGGGGCTTGGCGCCAACGACACCCACGGGCCAGAACTCTGGGGACCACAGCAGACGCACCCTCCCAGCCCAGCGCCCCCGCGAGCTCGCCAGAGCACTGCATTCTCCGGTGAGTAGGAGCCGGTGTTGACAGAACGCTGGGAGCCCCAAGTAAGCCCGGAGCGACCGCAAGGAGAGGTCCCAGCTTTGAAAGGCCCCGCTCCGCCGGCTTGAAAGCTTATCAGCTTTTTCCAGAGCGCGCCTGAAAGCGGGCCTCCCTTCTTCCATCCCTGCCTGTGGTCCTTATCTCTCCGGGAAGAAAGCAGAGTTCCCCTTTTAGATAATCAGACTGAGGAATTAAGGACACTTCACCCTCAACTCTGCATTTCTGAGAGGCGGAATTAACCCAAAGGAGAGGCATTGTTACTGTAGGAATTCCATGCACCTATGAGCTCAGCCCACTAAATCATAAACTCAGCGCCAAAGAAGCGCACTTGCTACTGGATGCACTGAGCCTAGGGAGCGCATTAGAAACAGAAACTCTCAGATCTAGAAAACTTTATTCTGCTGTCAGACCTTTTTTGTGTTTATCACATGATTCTCCTAAGAGTACGACATAATGCCCAAGAAACAAGCTAGATTTTTGTATATTAATAGAAAAACATCTGGAAGGATGCACACTGTTGACCGCTGTTACCTGGAGGGTAGGATAGAAGTGCAGGAGGAGGGGAGATGAATTTTATACCCTTACTGACTTTAAATTTTGTATTTTTGCAGTTATATTAACTTGCATAATTTAGAAAGCTAATAAAACATTTTAAAGGTTTTATTTATTTTTAGAGAGAGGGGAAGGGAGGGAGAGAAACATCTATGTACTACAGATACTTCAATTGGTTGCCTCTCAGCTAATAAAACATTTTAGAGAAATATAGGAATTAGAAAACCTTTAAGAAATCTACAGAAAAGTATAAATTAATACACAAATGCCTATGTCTTTCATTTTTGTGTCAAAATAATCCTGAGTCCATGTTCTTTGGTTTAAATAAAGATATCTTCAGGCTGTTGTTCTTTAATCACTGTGACTGGACAACACAAATATCTGAAGATTTTTTCTGTGCCTCAGGTTGGTATATTGTTTCTATGCATGTGTCTTCCCTTAAATGCACTGCCAATAGCCACAGATATACTTTCAGGAACTGTCAGCCAAGGAGATTTCGGTCAAGAAACTGCTACAATGTCAGCTGGCAGCCAACAGAGAAATTAGCTTGTGTCCTTTGTAGCTCCTAAAAGCTGCCCAGGCCCTGAAATTTAAAAAAATAAAGGCATTCTATCCATTGTGCTATTAATTAAAGTAGCTGTGAGTGTATCTGTAACAGTTACACTGTCTTTGGGGACTAAATTCCACACCCACTTGGCTGTAGTCTCTACTCTTGGATTGGGGCCTGGCTCCATCATCATTAGTTAAACATCTATTATTCATATATTTAACAAATACAAGGGGGACCGCCCCCAAAAAAACCAGAATTATCTTCTGAAAGGTGGGCCCACTGTAGTACAGGCTTCCCCCAGCAGGTAAGTGTTCTAGGAATCCACCTGTATCAGTGTACCAGATGGTGTTATTATGAGAGGCTGCATTTGGCTTCAGTGAATTTATTTTGAAGGCTTTCAACGCATTTGCCCATTTCATGCTGGGTAATACATGAGCACACCTGCCCACAAGGGCGCTGAGAGTTCAGTTTTTGACCAAAAAACTGCCCGACCCCTATGCCCTACTCTCCCCATTCATCCAGTCTCACCCCAAGCAACTTTTTTTGTTTGTTTCCAGGATGAAAAAAGTCCTCAAAGGGAAATGTTTTGCCGAAGTGGAAGAGGTGAAACAAAAATAGCAGAAGCACTAAAAGGCATCAAAGTCACCAAATTCAAAAACTTTTGAGCAGTGGAAAAAAACACCTTAGTAGGTATATTGCATCAAATGGACAGTACTTTGAAGGTGACTCCAGTTTAAACATGTAAGAATAAATACACAATTTTTATTAGTAAATTCTGAGTTTTGGGGGGGCACAACCGCCCTCCTCGTATGTCTGACCACCTACTAGGTGCACAGCACAAGGCCAGACACCGGAATGGTGAACATGGCAAACATACTTCATTCTTGAAGCTCACCATCTAGCTGGAGAGAGAAGGACTTAAACAAATGCACTATCAATTTTATAATTACAGTGGTGATATGGGCCAAAGGGAGTATAAGGTCACATTTGTCTCGGAGTCCAAGAGGAGGTTACATTTGAGTTGAGCCCTGAAGAGTGAGCAGGATTTATTCAAGCAAAAAGGAGAGTGGAATAGAGTTCCTGGCTATTTCAGGTTACAAAGGGGAATGTGGTGGAGAAGGAAGGTGGAGAGATAGGCAGAGGCTAGATCATGCAGGGCCCAGTATACCACTTTCAGTGAGATCACTCTGATTGCAACGTGAAGAAGGAGTAGGAGAGAGGGAAGAAGAGGGTAGAGGGACAGATAGGAGTTTGTTGCTGTAAGTGAAAGGGATTGTTTAAGGAGTAGAGTAAATGGAGAGACGTGAACACAAACAAGAGTTGGTGACTACTTAGGGAGGAATCAAGGCAAACTCCTAGGTTTCTGCTTCTTCAACCATATGGACGGTGGTACAGTTTTCTGAATTGGGGAATCCTCAGGGTCAGGGGTTGAGAAAACCTTCCCGAAGTTCATATTTGGTCAAGGTTTGAAGTGCCTGTGAGGTATCCACGTGAAGATGTTCACTAGGTAGTTAGTTGTAGGGTCTGGTACTCTGAGTAGAGGCTGGAGCTGGAGTAGCTGGTATAGAGGTGGTCTCCTGGGAGAGTATAGGGTTCAGTCAGAAGGAGGCCTCAGACTGAGCCTCAGGGAACCTTTATCTAAAAGCTGGACAGAGGTAAACTATCTGGCAGAAGGGGTGGAGGAGCAGCCAGAGAGTCAGGAAGAAAACTAGGAGCTTGGAAAGGTATGGTCACAGAGCTCAGGGAAAGAATGTGTTATAAGAAGGCAGCAGTAGTCAACAACATTCAAAATGGCTGAGACCAAAGAAAAATGGATTGAATGGCCTTGGTGTCATTGGGACTTTTACAGAACAGTAACGGTGGAGTGAGGTGGTGGAGGGCGTTAAGGAGAGAGTGGGTGGTGAAGAAATGAAGAAAGGCACTGAGTACAGGCAACTCCTAAAACATTTGATGATGAAGGATCAGAAAGAGAAATAGCTGGGGAGAGATATTATGTCAGCAGTGGGTTTATTTTAGTTTATATATTAATTTTTTTTTAGGATGGAAAAGCTTGAGTGTGTTTAAATGCAGATGAGGAGGGTCCTATAGAAAGGAGAAAGAGAAAGGTACAGTAGTAAGAGGTCAACGGACAATAAAGCTTCCTGTGACCATGGGAGGGAATGGAACCAGAGTATGGGTGGAAAGACTAAAGTCATGCAGGAGATCGCCTCCTCTATTCTAACAGGAGGGAGGAGGTTGGAGGAGGTCTAAGCCAGACAGGTTTGGTGTGGAATGCTGAATCCTTTCACCTGATAATTTCCCCTTATTCTGTGACATACAAGAGGCTGGGGGTGGGGCAAGGAGAAATGAGAGACTTGAAGAGAGTGGAGGCTTGACACATTGCAGCAGATGGGAGAGTTGAGATGATCAGAGAACATGCCAGATGGCAAGGCAGCATGGCAACCCACTTGATTGGTGATTTGAACTTGTAAGGTACCCATTTGCCCTGCTATGTGATTTCCTTCAGCAGAGTTTAGCTGTCTCCTCTGGTGCAGGCTCAGGTGAGGGAATTGCTAGGGCAGAGGAGCAAATTGGATACCTCGGCAAAAGTGAGGTTGACATGATGTATGATCCGAGAGAAAGGGCTGAAGTTGGTGGGTTGGATGGGTCAGTGGGTCAAGGCTCCATCGTGTAGAAAGGAGAGGGAGTCGGGTTAGAGATCTGAATGCTTACATGAGTGGTTCAGTCCTGTAAATAAAGGTTAATTTCCATCTTTGTCATTTACTTCAAGAAAAAAAAAATTAGTGATTCAGGAGATAGACAAGTTTAGGGCCATAGCAAAGCCAGGATGTGATGGGGAAAGGCAGAGGAGAAAGTCATGAGGAATATGAGATCAAGGGATTCAGAGGCAGTACCAGATGCGTCATCTTTGTGGAAGTGCAGCTATCCAGGATGCGGGCAGGAATTGCGGTATTATTGTGTGAAGGCTGTGGAGCTGTGAGATAAAGTCATAAGAGCATAAGCGGGAGAGTGACCAGGAAGTGAGAAGATGGGAACCATCAGCAAGAGGAGAGGGAAGATGGCTAGGTCGCAGCCTCTTCAAAGGAACAGGGTGTCGCAAGAGGTAGAAGAGAAATGATCGGGGAAAGAGGACTTGAGGCCCAGGGGGACGCAGAGGTGAAAGAGTGAGCAGCTTCATCTCCTACTGCTGCAGGAAAGGCAGAGGAGGTGGGAATTTCATTCTGAGCAGATCTTAAGGATGGATGGACAGATGAATGCATTGATGGACCACTCTTCGATTCTGTTTGCCTGTTGAAGTCTGCAGTCGTAGAGGCCAGAGATAAGATTTGGATGGGAGGGGTGAAAGGAGAGGGGGAGATCAGGTGCTAGACAGAGCAGAGCATTGTGGTATGACAGCAGGATAGAGGATCTGTTCGGGAATAACAGCGGAAATAGAAATGAGTGGCACAGCTGTTTTTGTCCCAGTTGTCTCTGTGAAGCTTGACCCAGTAGCTCTGCAAACCAGGGCCACACCCCCCTCAAATCTTTCTTCTCCCCAAGATTTCCATCAGGGAAAGGCATGTGGAAACTTCCCCATCTACCCTCCTCTTCTCCACTGAGAACTTTGTTGTCCAAATGAGCCCCTATGGGATCCTGGTGGTCAATCAGGAATCCGAGGCTTATTCTACCTCTACTACACTCACCTTCTCTCTTCCTCAGACAGGTTGTTGACCTCTCCTATCTCAGTTTCATTGTCTGTAAGATGAGGATGCTAAAACACACCACCTCTCCGGGCAGCTATAAGGAGAAGGAGAGATAAGTGAAAGCACTTCCTAAACTGTAAAGTGCTATAGGAATGGGAGTGACTTCTCTGCTTCAGAACCCCACCACATAACGCCCACATCTCTCCCAGAAGCCTTCCCAAAAAGCCTCTGAGTCCCTGCCTCAGAGGAAGCTGTAATCTTGCCCCAGAGACAGGACAAACACACCAAAAACAATTAGAGAGGAATGCACAGCTGTGTCTGATTAAGTGCTAAATTGTAAGGTGCAGAAAATAAGGGCTCTGAGATCAGAAAAGGGAACAATTAGCCAGAGTTGGGAAAGTCTGGGAGGCTTCCTGGAGCTGATGGAGTGGAAGGTACCCAGACTTCTCACTTATCCTAAGGATAATATTTGCAAATATGCCCATTCCTTTGTGGCTGCAGAGACTCGATCTGACAGTCTGCCATAGGTCTAGAAAACATTTTTAGGTCACAAACTTCTCTCTTGGCACCCCTGCTTCCCAGCCTGTGGTCAGTCCTAAAACCCTGTCATCTCTCAGTCCCCTCCCCGGTGGTTGGGCAGCCTGAACTACACAATGTATATGCTATCTACATGCTATGCCTGGGCCTGTCATGTTTTGGTCTTTGTCTCCCATTTTCCTGATGAAGAAACAGGCTGATCTTCTGCAAGTTTTCTGTGCCTTCATTGGTGCCAGCACATACCTGGTATTTTTACCCAGCCGAGCTGCAGGCTTTTGAGCAAGCAGTCCTGGATACTCTTCCTGCTGTTTGCCTCGCTGTACCTGGCCAGCCTAAGGCACCTAGCTGCATGTCCACAGAGCCAAAGCCCTGAGTCAGCTCTCACACCTGCCTCCTTTGCTTTTGACTGCCCCTGCCTCATTGTCCAGGAGCACCCACCAACCTACCATTCAGATACAGGCCCCAGGGGGCTGCCACATTAGGGCCCAAGACCTGCAAGCACCCAGAGCTGTTTTCCACCTCCTTGGTTAAGTTGGAGCCAACTGCTGCAGGCCTTTGTCCTCAGTGGCTAGCCCCATGGCTTGGCTGGTGCCTCAGCCCTGTACCTCCCTCTTCCCTTCACCACAGGCCTGGAAATGCTCCCAGCAAACCAGTGGGCCAAGTGCACACGGGTACAAATCAGCAGCACAAATCCCCAAATTTTATATATGCTATAGACTTCGGTTGCTCCAGAAGAATAGCAGCGTTTTCATTTGTCAGTCCCAGGTAGACCATGAAAACTTAAAAAAAAAAAAAAAAAAAAATCCAGCCACCTCTGTCAATGGTTAAAATATTCATTACTAACAGAAAGGTGGAACCCTGTCACTGGAAATCTTAGGGTTCCAGTCCAAATCCCTTGGAACTTGCAAATAAGAAAATGAAGGCTCCAAAAGTAGCCTTCTGGAGGCCAAACATCTGATACTAGACATAATGTGAATGTTGAACAATTGAGTTACAGGTTAAAAACTAACTGGCTCCTAAAGCAAACACATTCCCTCAAGATTATTTTGACTTTGCAATAGCAGAAAAACTTAACACCTTATTATCAGACAATGGTACTAGAAAACAATATCGTGATTCTGAGATTTCCTGCATATCCCACAGAGTCCTGATGCACGAAGAATTCAGAATCCCCAGGTCACTAATGTCCAGCTTGTATATGGCATTGTGGTATAAGGTCAGCAATTTGAAGGGAACAGTCATCTCTGTTAGGATCATTATATTGTTTAATCAAACGTTCATTAAGGAGAAATGCAAAATCATACTCATTATCAAACTACAAAATTACATTCAAGGGGAGAAGCCCATAATTGTAGCATCAAGCATGAGACAAAGCCATTAATATGATTATCAGGGCATAAGCCTATTAGAGAACCTAATGCCTCTTTGCTAGCATCATCCTTTGTAAAGCTTCTCTGGGTCTGGAAACCATCTCAGTTGTAAACACAACTGTTACGAAACAGTGATTTCTAAGGGTCATAA